ACAGCAGCCTTCATGTAAAGAACGTACCTCCCGCTGTGCAGGCAGATGAAGCAGTGAGCTAGGCAGGCCACAAAGTCCTGGTCGTGGTTGCCTGGCCCGAGCACCAGGTTGCGGTTGACGGTCAGGACCCGCAGGGCGTCCAGCAGGGCCACCTGCTGTGCTACAGTCTTGTGGGGTCGGCAGAGCTGGTAGAGCACCGTCCGGTTCAGACAGTGGTAGATGGTGTCGAGAGAAAGTCCCTGCGAACGCCTCTTAGACTGGAATTTGGAGCGGGAGGAAAACAAGCGAGAAGCAGTTACGGCTGTTTAATGCTGTGAAGTGCATGTGAACAAAGCTGCTGAGGAAATATTTCTGCAGGAGGAGATTTGTGTTTGTAACGGGGCTAAACTGAGGTAGGAATGCAGGATTGTGAACGTAGCTTTAGTATTGGGATGCTGCTTAAGGGCCTCAGAGGGCCTTATTTGAAAAGTCTTATATTTACATATTTATAAACATGTTTAGACTTTAAATCAATACTCTGCATGTTCATGCTCAAGTGTGCTCTAACAGGAAGCTCCAGATTTTGGAGCTTCCTGTTTTGTGTTAAAGCAAAACTTGGAGAAAACCAGTTTTAAGCCTGAAACAGAAAAAGTCTTAAAAATTGAAAAAGAATATTATTCACATAGAAAACCTCTTTTCTAGTCTTCCAGACAAACACATTTGGGACTGTTGGAATAAACCGGAGCACCTGCTGTTCACTCACACACCTGCAGGAAGTGCCACACCGTGCCACCCATCACACATCTTTTCCTTTTAATCGACCACTTTCAGGAGCAACTCCAGCTGGAGTTTCTCCAAAGAAAACTGAGTAGACAGTGGGTACATTTCAAAACGACTGACGAAATTAATAACAAATATATTCCAGTTCCAAACTGTGCGCCTCAGGATGAGATAGATGGCCATCGAATCCACTGAGGGATATTTCCAGGATTCAGGGACTGCATTATGGCTCGAAAAATGAATTACTGAAAATAATCTGCTTATCTTCTCAGCTGCACAGCAATGTGTACACAAACCACCGCACAAAAAGGGAAGACAAAGTCCACGCACGACTCTTTTTACTACGTTGCTAAAAGCATTTCCATGTAAGCATACGCATGGAGTACCACTGCAACCCTTATTTAGAATAACAAAACAAAGAAACTGAATCTAATAAGCAGCAAATATAAGAAACACACCTCAGCAGCCAAATCTCATTTTGTGCCCATCTCCTACCAAAATGAGGCCTGCAGGACCCCGTCTATCTGATTTGCTCCTGCAAGACCACTAAGAAGGACTGTTTTCTTTCTTATTCCAGTTCAGGCGTCACAGACGCCGTCTCTCTGCCTCCGGCCTCTTCAGGAAAATGTCAGTCTGACAATGCAGGCTGCTCCCAACAATACAGGATTTACATTATGCTGTGTTTGTGAATCTAATGACTATTAAATGTACAAACCAGACAAAATACTAGTGCCTCCAGCTACACAATGTGAGGACATAAAGGGAGGACGTACGCTGCCTTAGACAGACAGAGACGTTTCGTTTGTATAACATCTGAAAACGCTGGATTTATTTGGGTGAATCTGTCCATTTTGGACCATCAGCTGACCAAAAATAGCCCGAGGTCATTTTGCTTGTACCTGTCCAATGAGCTGCACGATGAAGTCCACCACCAGCTTGGAGTCCTTGTTGAACATGCCCTGCCACAGCTTGTCCACCACCCGCTGGGTGAAGTAGAAGACGTTGTTGACCAAAATCTGATAACTGCCCCCGCTGCTGAGGGGCAACGAGGCATCTTCGCCTGGAGAGAGAGTCAGTCACACATCTGTTAGAGGGTTTACAGATTATGATGTGAATACAACCAAAATAAGAAAAATAAAAGAGTTTAAGAAGGTTCTCTGGTTTTGATTATTTCAGTTAACATTTTTTCACCCTTCGTTTTTATTAACTATGAGCTCACTGACACTGCCTGATGGAGGTGCAAGTGAAAACCTGGCCACACCTGCCAGCTACGCAGTTCAAAGTCTGTGTGACTTCTGATTGGTCGCATACGAGAATAGAGGAAGTGCATGCCTGGTGAATACACAGGACGTGAGCGGGCGTCGCGCTGGTCTGTATTTCCAGGAGTAAGGAGGTCTCTGAAACAGACGGCCTCACGCTGCGAGTGTTTCCTCCTCATTACAGTAGAAACTGTGCATGTGTAAAAACAGCAGCTTTTTAAAAATGCATTACATGATTGAACAAAACGAAGCATCTCACGTCTCTGCAAACAGATATTACCTTTGAGATTTAGCAGAACAGTGTGACAGGAATATGGGCTTTATTGATTATTTTGTGTTCTACTACGGAAACAAAGAAAGGTAAGTGAGATGATTTTTGCTGTCTCACATTTTTTGAAGCGCACAGATTTTCTTTTCTTCCCTAGACAGATGCAGGATGATACTCGGGGTGGGCAACTCAAGGCCTCGGGGGTCGGTGTCCCTGCAGGTCTTAGATGTGTCCTTGAACCAACACAGCTGATTTAAATGGCTAAATTAGCTCCTCAACATGTCTTGAAGTTCTCCAGAGGCCTGGTAACAAACTAATCATGTGATTCAGGTGTGTTGACCGAAGGTGAGATCTAAAACCTGCAGGACACCGGCCCTCGGGGCCTGGAATTGCCCACCCCTGCTCTAAACACAACAGAAACTGCTGAAGGTGCTTGCAGATCTCCGGCCTTCACACTGTGATTTGCTGACTCATGATGCCTCCATCACAGTTTTGTTCAAAGCCAAAGAAAGAGTTAAGCTGTCCTGCAGCATGCTTATGTGCAAGAGCAGGATTTAAGCAATAAGAATGGACCTAATGAGCAGGGTGTCCGAACTAACTGTAGACTCCAGGGAAATAGGTGAGAAAGTGCCATCAGTGATAGTGATGAAACATTACACCCCTGCCTCTAGTTTGGAGGTGAGAGAAGAAACCAAAACTTTAGTCTGCTGACCTAGAAGGACATCAGCAGCCAGTAGATGCTCCATGACGCTGTCCAGGATGTTGGACTGAAACTCCTTCTGCTGAGTCCTGGTGGAGCGCTCCGGGGAAGCCTGAAAAAACCAACATGAAGGGAAAAGTAAGCAACAGCCATGTTAGAGTGTTTCCTATCCATGCATCTAGAACGTGGGTTCATGTCTCTGTTCTTACCTCCAGCAGCATATCAATGATGGGTGTCTGCTTGCTGGCTGGGGTCATGCAGAGGTTGTCCATGATCAGAACCCTCATGAAGTCAAAGACATATTTTTTGGCCGGGTGGTTGGTCAGCGACGTCTTGGAGCCCACGTTGCAGTATTCAGACTGGCTGCGGTTCATGCCAGAGTCCCCAGTGAAGGCCTTGAACTCTTCGGTGGGAGAACTCGCTTCATCGTCCAAATCACTGACCTGCAAAGAACGCAAAGAACGTGACCTTCATCAAGATCATCTTTCATGAACAGATCATTGTTTCCTCCAAGTTCTTGCTGCTCTGACTTGGGGAAATCTTAGCCATACATCTTAATTCAAAGGCTAGCACACTGCAGCTGTCCCAAACACCTTTTATTGTGAGGAAACAAACTGGAGAGCAAGATAAGAGGGCCCATGGCTCAGAAGGCAATAAGTTACAGTTTTACTGAGCCTGAAGGGATATTTACAGGTATCTGTTGTGTGCTGATGGGACTACAAATCAGAACGTGTGATCACAGCAAATTAAACACTACATTTTTGTGGAGAGGAAGATGAAACAATACTAGATTAGATTTTTACTGCAAGTTCTTCCCTTGTGCAGAATTTAATTTCTATTTCGAGTTGCTTAAGTGAAAAAATAAAGGACAGACTTACCATCTCAGAGTACGGTCTGATGTTGAAGGGAAAGACAGCAGCTGCCAGGGCACAGAGGAACTCTGGGCTGTGCCACATTGGTGCAAGGTCGGACACGTTGTGGTAAAGGTATCTAAAGAACTGCATGAGTGTTACTGGGTACTCCCTGAGCCAGGAACCTTCCTCCTCTGACTGCCAAGGCTGGAAAGAGACAAAAGATGCAACGCAATGAAACCTGGAGAAGAATTTCCATTAAAATCTCAGCAGTTTAACAGTTCAAATCTCAGACTGATGCAAAAAATAAATAAAGTCTTTTCAGAGCAGTTATTGACACTAAGCCCACGGGCGGTCTAGTGAAGCTTCTCGTGCAGGGGATGAGCGTGCTAAAGGTGACGGGAGATTAGAAGAAAAACCTTCACAGAATCCAGACTGATCATAATCACATGTGAGTGCTTTTCAAGCTTGTTGTTAGGAACTGTTAAAACATGCGCTTCTATGAAAAGGGCCTTGAATTTAACGAGCAAATAATGGCTTAAAAAGGTTCAACAATTATCCCAAAAGCTTTTTGTAGTCAAGTAGAAATCGCTGTGCAATCTTCCCAGACTTTACTGTAACATTCTACACAAAATACAAGCTTTGTGAAACTGGCTGCAGATTAATGTTCGTGTTTAGGAAACTACATTGGTAAAACACTTATTTAGAGCATGTGCTACTGTAGAGGAAGCTGGAAATGACCAAAAATGACCAAAACGTGTCTGAAGGTTTGGAGGTTCTCACCAGGTTAAGCATGCTGCGCAGCATGGCCAGCAACAGGAAAGCAGCCTCAGTACAAACGCTATGGATGGAGGCCACCACCGTCCCACTGGATGCCGGCACGCCAAAGATGAAGGTCCAGATAGAGTCCAGATCAAACTGAGAGAACAAACACAGACACTGGGGTAACTTGGGTCACACAGATACATGTAAATCTTATTAAACGAGTCCACTTTTGTATTTATTCATTAGCTGGTTTGACAGGTCAAATTCAGGTTTAAAAGTGAACCCATTATGCTCTTCCTCATTCAGCGTGGTTGCTTCTGCTGTCTTAGCTCTGTAAACCTTCTGTTTGAACAGGAGGTCGGTGGAGCAACAGAGGGCCGGCTGATTCAAAGCACTGGTCCTCTCACTGTTGGCTGGGTCCCACTGGTAAGATATAAAATGCATAACTGCAGAGTGGATGACCTGAGGGAGTACTCCATGGCCAAGTATGAGATAAATAAGGATAATTCTGAACTGTGAATCGTGCAAAGTTCCCTAAAGAGTCGGTCCATCCAGCCTGTGATGGTTATCCGAGTTTGGGTTAAAGGGGCAACCGTCTAAGCAGAGATGCTCAGACTTCCCTCTCCCTGCCCACCTCAAGCTCTTCTGGGGGGACAACGAGGCCTTCCAAAGGCAGCCCAGAGACACAATCTCAATCTAACCCTCCACCACCTTTTTCTGTCTGAGAAACACGGCCTCAGACTTTGAAGTGCTTCTTCAATGAATTCAATGAAGTCCTGAGCAGCAACAAGAATCCTCAATTCACTGACACTGTACTCTGACCTGAAGGTGCAGGGACTCTAAAAAGTCCAAGAATACAAATCTGCAGCTGGAAACGAGCAGCATAGGTCCACTTTAAGCCCTGAGGCTAACAAACGTGTTTAGTTATTATTATTAGAGAAGGTTGGGTATACTAACATGTACCTGCAGGCTGTCTGGGAGCTCGATGACAGGCTGCTGCAGGAAGAGAGCCATGAGCAGGAAGTAGAGTTCGGGTACGTTGGTGTGTTTGGGCAGCAGTGTCTGCAGAACAGGGAATCCTGGGAAATGGCAAGCGTCCCGGTTGATCTCCCGCAATGTGGAGCGCCCGCCGGCACTGCGACCCACGTTGAATCCTAAAAAGAAAGTTGAGAGAGTGAATGTTAAAAATAAAGCACAAAGGTAAAAGGGTGGCACCCTATGACTACTGCACCTACAGGCAGCTCTACATGCAGGTGTAGTGCCCACTTTTGGGTTTAATGAAGCAAAGCTATGAAGGAGATGGCTGCAGTAAAAATCCAGGACTAAACTAACACAATCAATCAAAGCCAAACAGATTTGTTGCACTAAAAGAAAAACTCCAAATCTGAATAAAACTAAGGACTTCTACCTGATAGCGCTCATTCTGTTAGAGCAAGTCTCTAATGGGGAGTTTCCAGAGCTAAAGCAATGGTTCTCAACCTGGATGTTTGCAGGAGTGTTATGGTGTAATA